TCAAACGCATCAAAAAATTAAAATGTGTCGTTTATTTAACAAGCTGTTGTCATCATATCTTTATATGAATGGACAAAATGTAATCATTCTAAAAGACAATTATAAACATACTTAGTAGTTTTCACAAAAAGTAATTATTAACTCTCACACAGAAATTACTGGTAGAGCTGTACGGTGAGAAGGATGGCTTGATGATGCCACCAGTCAGCATTTCCTGGATTTGCTCCTCGATGAGTTCCCTATGTTAATCTGATGGTGCTAACCAGAAAGGTTTGTGTGGCCTGACCCAGATCTCGTGTTGTATAGTGCGAGTTTAACGCAACTTCCCAGTCAAAAGTCCAAAGATTTCGGCGTGCTCTTGCAAGAGGTTGAGAAAATTGGCGCGTACTTCTTCAGAAAACCCATTTCGGACCTGATCTAGATCTAGAGCAGCTTGCTGATTCTCCTGAGATGGGTGTAACGCAAATGGGATAGTTATTCATTGGCTGCTTCTGAAATATAGTACTCCCCTTGTCAGATCCAAAATGGGTTTCACCGTATGTAGATTTGTTAGATCTAGGACCATTTGATGTCATAGATCTGGTGCTACAAGAAAGCTAAATTAGAATGACCTTTTCTGGATCCGTAGGTCAAGACAAACACTACCGGTAGTCAGGAGAGTTGCATTACCGCTGGCCAAGTCACACTGTTGAGTATAGGATGTGATCTTCTTCTATCCCGAGAGTAGTGAGGGGTGTACAAAATTGTTGGTAGATGCCTGATTGACTAAAACGGCCACCTTTCGTTGACCCAGTCAAAACCATAATTTTCTGCAATGGTTGGCAGGGCATGCTGATAACATTTATTGTCGGTGTCTCTCCAGAGCGCCCGTTGCCAACTCCCCCGATACTCCGGTTTCGTTTCCTGGGAGAGTTGAGGATCAAGCGATCTGAATGGGACAGTCCCTGTGGAGATGGTAGTCGGGGCAGAAGTAACACTTGGGCGGCCATGTGCTTGGAGTTTCTCCAGATGAAGTAGTAACTGGATTTTTCTTGGCTTCAACGCCAGGTCCCTTTCCATGAGTCTTTGCGAGGTCTTCTCCTTTTTTTCTAACTGGACTGATATGGTTAAAAGATCTGTATAGGTTTTTAATATGAGGCTTTAAAAAAACTAGATAATCAACGGACGAATGAGCTCGAAAACCGTGGTGATTATTACTTTATCCTCAGCTGTAATACTGACCCTTTTAAACAAAAGGCTCTTTTTCTGTAGAAATGCCACTACTGGCTCTTTCTCGAATTGATGTTTGGAATATTATTCCAAGTGTAATTTTACTTGGATCACTTGGATGTCAAAACGGGCCCGAAGAACCTCCCCAAATTGTTTGAAAGTGAAAGACAAATATTTATACGTCTGACACTATTTTTCGGCATTCGCGCGTAGCCACTTTGTTGCTACCGAAGTTTGCTATAACTTAAGGGTGTCATACACCTTAAAGTAAAGTTGACATTAAGATAGAAAAACCTACGGGTCTTTGTGGTTGCAAGCTCCGTATAAAAGTAACTCGGGTAATTGTTCCTGGGCTTTTTTAAGAAATTTAGCCAGCAGCTCCTCGAAGCCAGTGGTTTCTGTGGCAAGAATTGTGTCGTGTGGCTTCCGCTTCTTAATTTTTTTCTTGTCGAGTGCCACTAGGTGTTTCTTCTCACCAATAATGAGTTTTGATCAATTGCGAGTCAGGCGTTTATCAGTCGGTGGTGCTGATAGACTCGGTGACTCATGGGTACCTACTTGCAGCAGCTGAAAATTCTTTGAAGATGGCCCCACATCGGGCACCAAATTGTTACAATCGGCCTGTAGGGCTGAGCTGCTTATAACTGAGAGGAGAAATTGAAGAGGACTCATATTCTTGTCTAGAACATCTAGCCACTCCTTTAATCCAAATAGAAATGGTGGTATCGCCCTTGAAGTCATGGGTGTGTGGTAATTGGCCCGTTATCCGTTAGGACTTTGATAGTCTGGTCACCAGGGTTATTGTTGTGTAGTTTTTTTTTTTTTTTTACAAAATTATGTTATTTATTATAATTCCACGTATTCCATCTTCTACCCCCGATAAGATTGCTTCACCTCTGCCCGCTGATCCTTACGCTCTCTGGATGTCTCAGGATCCAGTAGTGGTGGCATTACTCGGACCATACTCCGTATGTAAGGTTTAAGCCCTTCTATCAGTTTAAGACTAGTGACTGGCGAAGGGGTATTCAGGGGGGGGGGGTGGCTTCCTTGGTGCAAAAGAACTCAGGTTCGTTGTGGCGGTTCTGACCCTTTGGGTAGAATCATTCCTCATAAATGTTAGGCGGTGTGTGGAGGTTACTTCAAAGAAGTCCTCCAGGAATTGTATGGCTACGTCTCGGGTAGACTTTCTTGGAATGAGTTCGAGGGAGGTGACAACGACGTATTCCTGGGAGAGACACTCGTCGGTACGTTGACCTAAAGTCAATTGTCTCAACTCCTGGTTGGGAGGTGGAGACGTCATGAGCATCCAAGATCAAGAAAAAGAAGAAAAGAGTGGAGGATGGGTGAGAAAGAGAGACAGAGTCAGAATTTTTTTACGTACAGTGATTTTTATTGAATATGTACAATTTCTTTATCACTGCTTTTGGAACTTTGATCAGTTAAAAGGGTTGAGATGCATACAATGTACGAATTTGTAATATCTAGGCAATGTCATTTGGTCGTCGCTCAGCTCTTTTGGTGCACTATTAGCTTCTTTCTTACTTGCAACTAACAGTGGTCGTCTAGTGAGTGATAGATAGCACTACTAAGTTTAAAGTTTGAAGATAAAGCAGTGTGCAAGAATTAAAAATTTAAATTTTAGTAAACGATTAAATTTAAAGAAATTAGTTATTTTAATAAAATTATAATTAATGATAAAATAATACTTTGGATGGTAACATAATTTTAGTGTCTCCTACGCTTTTTTATTCGTTAATCATAGGTAATGTATCCTCTTTTATGCAGCGCATCTATGACCTTTGTGTTGGGAACTGCTCCTGTTGTTGTCATCAATGCTAGATTGTCTAAATATTCAAATGTGTGGTCCTCGATCCTATTAAGTTTTAGCAATAGGGGTGGGTCTTTTCCCACTGCTGGTGCCCATAATAGACTTTGTATTGATGGGCGTGTTCCGTACATTTTATATTTTTTCATTGATAGTGAGCGTATGACTGTGTTGGATTCGTTCTCGCTCTATGTTCTGCATAGCGCATTATTCAACACGTAGGATTGCTTTCTTCTTACTTCTGCTGTACTTTCATCGCTGTCGTTATTGCTGCTCGTTTGCTGTGTATTCTCTTCCAGTTTTTTCGTATGTTTACTTGTATCCACTGCTCTTTTAGAAGTGTCATGATCCTCTCCTGTATCACTTTCGTCTTTTTTTCCCCACTTGCCTGTGTCTATTCTTTCGACTAGTTCAGACTCAAGCTTATGCTCCTTAAATCTCTTACTACTGCTGCGGTCTCTTCGTGGGGTCTCTACCCCTGAGCCAAGTACTGTATTTATTGTGCTAGAATTTTGTATGATAGGCGTACAAGGAGCATTTTCTTTAACACCTTCTAGATATAAATGGCTAAATTCGCCGCCTGTCGTAGCAAAATAATGAATGTAAAATTAGTTTTTATTGGTTAGTTCAAAATGTAAACAAAGGTTTTTTTATGAATTCCTGAGAGAACAGATAAGTAAAGTCACTTTTCCCATTCTTTTTTTGTGAGTCCAAGACTTTCTTTAGTTTTCCCGGCTTTCTGTATTTTTGTAACAAATTAGAGTTGCACAAAACTGTTCGTAACTTAGCAGTTTAGATATCAAGTTCGTACAATCATATAAGGTTATAAAACTAACAATTTCTGGGTGGGTCGAATGGTATTTCCGATATTTCTGCCAGGGTACTGTCAGGTTGTGCGCAATAATAAGTTTTCCTTCTCGTTTTGTCTTTTAATTATTGTAGCCACTTATCTAGAAGTGAAACTTTCTTTGGCTGCTCATTACGTTCATTTTGTACCACGTTCTTATTTTTTTCTGATGGAGCCATTCTCTCCGTATTCTGTGAATTTTTGTTTCCTTTTTCTCTTGTGTGCAGCGCTGTTTTGTCTGTCATTATTATTTTGCTAGGCTCTCACATATCTATCCTTCCTCATCAGTGTCAATTATTACTAGAGCCCGTAATTCATCGTACCTTCTCTCTAATAAGTCATATATATTTGGATCCTTTCGTTTGTCTGTTGAAAATTTCTCTGTTTGTTTCATACTTTCTTCTTTTTCTCCTATATCGGTTCCTTGTTCTTCTATAATTAATTCTTGATTTCTACTTGTAACAGTGGGTAATGGTACGTCACAATTAGCTTTTTTTATTTCGATGGGTCCATCGTCGGTTGCGTAGCTAAAAAACCCGGTTTTTGTTTATGCAAAGCGTCAAGTTGTCGTTTAGGCACTCTTCGTTATGTTTCTTTTGTTCTCATATAACTGGCATGCTTATTGCAGTTAGTCCCTTTTAAAAGCCTGGTACTTTCATAATGTAGCCTAATTTTCTGTCTGCTGACCCCTGCGGAATAAGTCCTTCCTTCTCTGCAACATCTCGTGTTTCTAACTCATTTTGATCATTTAGTGCTTGCTGTGCTGGCACTAATGTCATGGCACTAATGTAAAATTATTGTCATAAGGCCTTCTGATTTAGAGTCCACCTTGCTGTTTCCTTAACTTTTTTTTCAATGTCACAATATCACTTCTTTTTCTGTGTAATGAAGTTTTTCGGATTACCTTGAACTATCTTCTTAAAAAGTGCCATTACTTCAAATGTTCACGCCAGTAGTCTCCTGCTATTGGTCAAATTTTTATTCTCTTGTTCGTCCACTAGCTGATAAAGCTTTTAGCATGGGTATCCGGAATTTACTTTCTCCTCTTGTAGTTTTGGGTTTTTTAATGATACATCGGCTAGTCTGTTGTTTACGCCTGGGTGGTATACGACTTTGAACTCATATCCTCTCAGCTTCGCTTTGAGCCTGTTAAAACGAATGTCTGGTTTTTTAGATAAATAAAAGTGTTTGAGCGGTTCATAGTGTGTAACAACTGTAAATTTGCGTCCATATGAATATTATATATATTGCTCTTTTGTAAATACAGTCGCTAATAATTCCTTGTCGTAAGTTGGGTAGCAGAGTTTGCTACCTTTGAGGCAGCAAGACACGTACTCGCACAGTCTATTATTTCCGATCTCTCCCTGACTTAGATTCGCTCCAATCGCGTAATCTAATACGTTCATTGTGAAGATAAAGGGTTTTTCTAAATCTGGAGTAATAAGTACAGGTCCACTGCACAGTGTATCTACGAGAGTTTTGAACGCTTGCTCCTCTTAATAACCTTATTTATATGCACTGCCCGGTTTTAAGAGTCTTGACAGCAGTTAGGCAGAGTGTGCATAATTTTTGACAAATCTCCTGAAGTAGTCTACGAATTCTAGAAATTTTTTTACTTTCTTTACGTTTATCCGCATTTCAAGTTTTTTGGATCAGTCATTATTTGTCCATTGCCTACTATGTGACAGAGCACTTTTGCTTTTTTTTCAAGAATTAATACTTTTTAGGTTTAATCGTGAGATTTTCGGCTGCCAGCTATTTTGACAGTTTTGTAAATTGCCTCTCATGTTCTTCAAGGTCAGATGCAAAGACCATTATGTCGTTAAGATACACTTCTTTTACATGACCTTGTAATCCTGCGAGTCCTAGTGCGATAGCCTTTAGAAATATGTTTGGCGAATCCTTGCACCTCATTGGCATTCTTTTGTATTGGTAGTGCTCATCTTGCCCTGAAAATGCTGTCTCATATTTATCGTCTCTGTATATTTCCACCTCAAAAAATCTTGACTTGAGATCCACTAACATGATGTAACGTACTGATGCCAGATTCTTTAAGATATTACTCTGAATCAGTAGCAGGTAACACGAGCCTACTGTCACTTCGTTGAGTAGTCGAAAATCTGTGACCAATCTTATCTTTTTTTATTGTTTGGTACGAGTGTTTTTTGCCACTATCCAGGTGTTCAAGCTGTATGGTAAAGTGAAGAGTTTAATGATCCGTTGTTCAAGCGTTTTCTTTAATTCGATTTTTATTTGAGCCCTTATCGCCGGTTGATATCTGAATCTTTGCCACGATGGGTTAATCCAACATCGTTATAATTCGATGTTTAACAGGTGTATTTTCTTAAGAGATTCTCCGTCAAGACCAAATGCATAAGGGTTTAATTTGATTAATCTTTTCACACATCATACTTCTTCCTCGTTGCAACCAGCTATGTCTACGAGTTGCATTATCTTATCTACCCATTCTTGTTTCTCAAGCTTCTGTTCATGTCTTGCAAATCTTTTTGTTTTTTCCTTATCATAATTTTTTTTTTTCAATTGAATAACCTTATTATTGCCTTCCCCAAGCTTTTAACATTGCTTCTTTCGATGCCTCCTGAGTGCTCTTGGTAAACTTCTTCGTTATCTAGCAACTCTACTTCCAGAACAGGCACGTATTTTATCTCGTCACTCATATTTATACATTTTGCGACTATTTTTTCGTTAATATTTCTGTGTATAAGATTTTCCATTACTATTCCTTCCTCCATCTCTTGAAGGGGTATGCAGCCGTTCTCTGCTTTATTTGTGCTTTTTTTTATTTGCGCATTAACGATTTGTCTCGATTTTGCAGGTATTTTAAAATACTACGGCCTTAAAAGTGGTATATTCACGTCATCTTATATAATCATATTCTCGGCAGCGTTAATCTGATCCCAGTATCACTTAAAAGAGTCTCACCCTATGATTCCTTCCACGTCAATTGGCAAGTCATGGGGGACGACGTGTAATGTGCACTCCAATCCGTCCCACTGAGCCTGTGTGGCGTCTCACATCTCTCGTGCTTCGGACTCTACTCGCCAGGTGGCCGGGCCCGTAATAGTTCGCTCCCGTCAAGCGGTGAAATTCCCGCACGATTAGTATATAAGCAAGATCGAGTCAATCTGAGCCCACACCTCTCCTGTGTCTAAGGCAGGGAGCACGTCATCAGCCTTACTGATGAGTCCTGGCGTGCTCCCGGGACGAAACATCAAACCATCTTTTTCTCTCTCATAGACGACCTCTTCGATCTCTATACCTGTACTGTACCCAATATTTTGCGTGCTCCGTAAGTCATGCTGATGATAGCTACTCGATATCTACTGTCTATTGGCATGTCTGTGCTAAAACAGTTTTTCTTTATAATCGAAATATTTTTACCCGTATCAGCATAAAAAGTTGCCTTTCTATTCTTTAACTGAGGTCCCCGTAACTGAACCAATGGTGACATATGCTCTGTTCCTACGAGTTTAATGGTTATTTTGGAAAACTACTCTATGTCTTTGTCACACTCTGAAAGCTTGGGTTTGTTATTCTCTACATGTGTGTCTGGCACCTTTATCCGATTGATCTTTTTGCGGGCCCTCCTGCCTTTTCTCGTGCGTCTACCTCCCCCCCCCCCGTCGTGTAGAAGTGTCTTCGCACTATGCATTATTACGTGGTATTATTCCCTGCTCTGCGTAAGTACTTAGGCTGTGGATGTGCGATTATGCCTCTACTATTTTTTGCTCCACCTTTTGCAGCCTCTTTCTTGCACATTCTCTCTCGTCAAGTACGCTTCTCTCCGTTTCGTTCTCTAATTCATGTTCAACGTTTGGTGACCACATTGGATGTCTAGCGAGTTTAAAACTGCGAGTAGGTCTCTTCTACTATCATGGATGTACACGAAATTTTCTCGCTGCTGTGGGCCCTTATCCTGTGGTGGCCCGTTTCCAAATAAATCCCTGTTACAGCAGTTTCTGCTATCTTGATTTTTGTACTCGTTTTTATAACAGTTGAATGTGCTTCAATTAATATTATTTTACGAGTCTCCATTGTTGCGTTTGCCATAATAAGTATTACCTCTAGGTGTACGAATAAATTCGTTGAATAGGCTTCATGCTTGTGGGATCGTGGGAGATGTGGGAGAGGAGAAATTCGGGAGTGGGGCATAGTCGCGATTAGGTAGACAGCCGCGAATTTTCTTGTTCGTTAAGACACTTTTCCCCTGGACTCGGCAGCGTTATCATCTTGTCTTGCTGTCTCTCTATATCTCTGGCTTTGTCAAGCGTTACCATTGGAGGCGGAAATTGCGGTGCGTTGGAGTTTTATCACTGCTTCTCTTCTTAAAAACGGTATCGTTCCACTAAGTTTTTTCTGATTCACACTATCAGATTCAATAAGCTTACATCTTCGCTTATTCGATAATCTGTACAAGTGGCTAACAATTAGACTGCGTCTTGTTGACAATTGAAGGAAAATGCCTGTTAGTGCGACGGCGAAAATTCCCAACGCACGACAGCATTTTATAATTTTGTATAATAACGACCCTATACATACATATTGTAATTAGTATTATGATTTATGAGCAAGACTTTTTTTTTGGTATTTAGAAAAATTATGAGTCGAGCACATTCTGTTGTTAAGAGATTATTTTCAATAAATCAATCTCGCATTGTTTGGCAATTAGATGTGTATCATTTCTCTTTCCTTGATATAAATTGAGCTCATCGGTCAATGAGCTATCGTTGTCTCATTACACATGGCAATGGTCCTCGGTTAATCGAACCGTTTGGAGAAAAGGTTTAAGGTGGCATGCTTTCGCTGGCATTGCGATTTACGGCTCCTCAACTAAACACTAGGGTTGTATATATTATTCCTAACGTTATAATTAATATTTCTGTTATAAAATTCCGTTGGGCTATTGTTATAGTCCCTGTTATATTTATTGTAACTATTGTAATTACGATTCTAAAAATTATCGCTTCTGCCATTATAATTATAGACGTTTCTGCGGGTGTGGGTATTATTTAGGAGCTTCTTATATCTCTCGTGTCATCATCTCTTTTTTACCTTTCTGTCTTGCTTGCGTGAGTGGCAGTCTCTCACATAGTAACCCAGATTTTGACAATAATTGCAATTTTCCTTTAGTTCTTACCCGTTAGCCCTTAAAGCCTTCCTGTCGTTCATCAACGCTAGTAGTTTTTGACATTCCTTGACTAAATGCCCGGTTCGTCCGTCACAGTATATACAGCATTTTTTGTTTGCTGCTACTGTTCCTTTTGCCACATTGGTGATTTCCGTTGTTCTTTCTCCTTCTCTTGCCAGTTGTTGCCTTATTGTATGCGGGCAGTGCACTTACTGGTATTGCGTGCTGTAAACTAAGGTCGCTCTCAATTTTTAATGCCCCTATAATTGCTCGCTCTGGTGTTCTTGGGTTCAAGCTTGCCATTCTATAACTAAAAGTTAGAGCTAATCCATATGTAAATTGTTGTACCACCTAAGATTCTAATTTTGTTTCCAGCGTCTGTTTTTAAATTGGGGGAAAAGATGGGTTCAAATTGTACAATATCGTTAATCTATTATACAATTGCTATACTTGTCCACCATAGTCGTCTATTTCTTTGCTGTCTTATTGTGCTTTTACTTTTAGTTTTGCCATTAGCGAGTTTGCGTTATTAATGCTAAAATACCTATTCAAGAGCTCTCTAATGATCTGTTCAACTGCTCTAAGCTGCATTAATTTTGGAGCTAAATGTTATACTGCTTCTCCTTGCAGTTTATTTACGAGGGTGCTTAAAAAAGTAATTCGTTTTCTTGTGCTATTGTTTCTGCAACCATTCGCACCATTTTCTCAAACAACGGTAGGTTGATTGGTCCCCGTCAAAGTACGGATTGTTGCCCATCATATGTCTGAGCGTGGGCAGAATATTTTGTTCTGTGTTGTGCGGTCTGCGTAGGTGATTGTGGTTGTGTGTAACGTGTGTATCATTTGTATGTTTGCCCGTGGTAAGTGCTATATTACTCCATATTTTGTCCCGATTCTCATCAGAATCAGCCCAATTTGTGTAGTTATCAGTTATCACTTAGTGATGGCACTGTTACCAGAAAAGTGGCTTCCTTCTTTTTTTCAAGTTCCTCTCATATATCTTTTATTCCATCTCATAGCTGTATGATTTGATCTCATTTCTTTTTGAGAGGCTTTGAACCCATGATCCCTTTAGTATCTGCAGCTAGAAGGCTAGCACATTGGCCAATAAGTAATCAAAGCTCCAAGAAAAATTAGGATACAAACAAAGACTATCTTGAAAATCTTACAGTTTGACAAAAACCAATTTTACAACATGAAAGACTAGGACAGCTTTTAATTTTATATTCAAGATTTTATTATTATAAGAATCATTGTAAATTTAAAAACGGAAATCCTATAATAATAAAAATTGGATAATGTTATTTTTTGGGTCCAATACCATATTGCTTCTATGGAATTGTTCATATATTTGTAAAAATAACTCGAGACTAAGTCATTTGGAAAGATCGTGTGATTTGAACTACACGATATTTGTAAATCTTGTTTTGAATAAATTTTTTAAATTTTATTTACTCTAAAGTTATTGTAACAATTATTTATAGTATTAATTAATTAATTATTTTATCTATATCCTTATGCATGTCTGTACATTTTTCTGCAACAAAAAAGGACTATGGAATAAAATTTATATCTTTGAATATTTAAATTTTATGTTTATGTTGTAATGACTACATAATAAAATAACTTTGTACGAAACTATTGGTTGAATTTATACTTTAAGTTTATTAACAGATTGAAAACATTATTCAGAGAAATAATAGAAACTTAAAAATACTTATCAGATACTCTCGATTATATAACTAACAAGTCCATCATTTCGTAGATATTAAGTGATTCAGTTGTTAGGTTAAGTTATTAGGCTTCGTTGATATTCAATACATCTTAGAAGGTGGGCACATAGAGCGTGGAGGGGTCTTATATTACATAGCTATAA